TTTTCAGTTCAGTTTATTATATTTTGCAGCCCCACAATTTATGTTTGATTCTTTTTATAATGTCTTTGTTGATATTCTTACTGCGTTCATATATTGTTTCCATGAGTTTTAGTTTTTCTTTGTGTTTTCCTTTAACTTTATCAGCATATTTAAAACTACTGTTTGAAAATCATTGACAAGTTAATCCTAAACCTTCGTTTCTTTAGGGTCAATTTCTGGAGATTCATTTTGGGATTTTTTGTTTTGTTTTTCTTATTGAATGGACCATCTTTCCTTGTTTCTTTGTATGCCTTTGACTTTTGTTGAAAATCACAAACTTAAAACAACAGCTACTTTTCTTAGTCTTTGTCGATTGCCTTCGTGTGGAAGAAGACCCTTAGTAATCAGCCCAGCATGAAAGAATGCATTTTTTTCTGGATATTTGTGTATATGTGCATGCTTTTTTCCCAAGTCCCCTCCCCAATATACATGGCTGCTTGTAAAGATCTTAATTTCCCTAAGGAATTTAACAGCTGCTGCTTCTTGGGGCCATAGGTATTCTATATTCCTTTTTCCATAGTCTCTTACAGCTAGGTATCTATAGGTATATAGTCCCTGTAATTCTTTTGTACCATAGTACCCATTACAGCTTTCAGCACCCTCCAATCTAACATCCAAACTATGCCTTCATTTCCATCTGAGCTCTGAATCAAGCAAGACAGAGAGTATTCTCTTTCAGGCCAGAGCATTGCAAAAAAGTTCCAATCTTTTCCTTTTGTCCTGAGGGTAGAAATATGAATCAGGTATTTTTCTTCTATCCAAGCTATGCCAGAGAAGAGGTGAAGCACGGATGAGCAAAAACACAATGAAATTTTGTACCATTTTGAGTGTGGCTTTTTCATGATTGGACATTTACTTAATTGTTGCAGATCTTTAACTAGCTTCTGGATGTCCCACAAGGATAGTTTTGTAAGTAATTTGCCATTCTGTTGGCTTTTCCATGAGAAATGAGGGCCTATTCCAACACAAATCACCATTGATATACCTCTGTAATTGCTCTGCTTTATTTTCATAGTAAATAATATACTTTTCTCTCTGAGTATGCTTTCAGAGATGCTATTGTTGCCATTGAAACAAATAGTTGATCATGCAGAATTGAAAAAATTGGAAAAATGGCGTTGTTTTTATTAATGTTGGGAGCAGAAAATAGGATTAGAAAAGTACACGAGGAAAAAGGCTGTTGGAAAATTCCAGGTTTCTCATTAGAAAATCTAAGAAATGCCCTTTTGTGGGGGAAGGGGAGAAGGAGTACAAATCTAATTTCTAACAAAAAGTTGGTAGGTATACATGTTGCTAAATTTCCTCAGTAATATTAATATTTGTATATGTTCTTCTGCTTAAATTGGATTTCAGAACTTTCTGAGTTCTGAGAAATACCCAGTTATAAATGGAAAATCCCTGTCCAAAGTAGGAAAGCAATTTTCCCACTCTTGGGTTTCTTTAATGTGGGAAAAGGACTACCCTACATGTTAACTTGTGTTTTTTTGGCCAGTTGGCCTGTTTCTATGCCAATACCATATTGACTTAATTTCTGTAGCTTTATCCTTTATGCATTAGTCCTGATAGCTGTTCTTCAAAATGTGTTGGCTCTTCTTACACTTGCCCTTCCATATTAATTTAAGGTTGGGTTTCGTAGGAAAATCCTATTGGAATTTGCTTAAAATTGCATTATAAATATAGATTAGTTTGGGATCAGATGAAATTGTTTTAAAACTGAGTTTCTTATCCATGAATATCTTTTTTCATGGTAACCTTTAATATTCTCAGATGATATTTTGCAATATTCTCCAGAAAAGTCATTTAAAAACTTCTTTGAAATTTTTTCCATTGGTACTTTATATTTTTCCTACTATTATAAATGCTATATTTTATAAAATTGTATTTCCTAGTTTGTTTTATAGAGCATAAGAACACAAATGATTTTGTAGAATTTATCATAAATTTTAATTAGTTCTTTAAATTTCTCTATTCTGTTGAACAATCTTCAAATAATGGCTTTCTGCTTCTTTCTGATATTTCTAATTTATATTTATTGCTCTTTTAATACTGTGCCAATAGGACCTTTAGTACAATGTTAAATAGAAGCAGCAATATTGAATTTCTTTCTCTATTCCTGATTTTAAAGAAAATGCTTCACACTCATCACTGAGAGTGAAATGTATTATAGTTTTTAGTATATAACATTTATCAGGTTCGAAAGTCTTCTCTATTTCTTGTTTAAGAGTTTGGCATTTTTTTGTTGTTGTTGTTGTTCTGAAGTGGTATTGGGTTTTACTGAGGAAAAATGTTTTTGGCAACTTCCAAACTGATTACATAGTTCTTTTTGTTTTATCTGTTGTTCTAAAGAAGTTTCCTAACATTAAATCGTGGTTTTAATTCTTGGGTATAAACCCAATTTGGTTATGATACAGCCTTTCATATTTGTTGTAATTCCTTGGTTGATTTGTTATTGAGAATTTTAGAATCTACAATTATGTTTGAGATTGGCCTACAATTTTTATTTCTTACAATATTCATTTTTGGTTTTGATATTAGTATACTAGCTTTATAAAATGAACTGAAGGTTGTTCCCTATTTAAATAATTTATTAGAAAAATTTTAAAAAGTCTAAATGGGGGAGATTTGGTAGAATTCACTATAAAACTATTCTGTGTGTATGCATGGGAAAGATAGAGTAAGAGAAAGAGGAAGGGAAAAGGATAAGGACATATAATTTCAATTTAGTTTATTTAAGTTTAACATAAACATTTAAGTTTATGTTTTTACAAAGAATAACAACTTCATTGAGTTATTGTTTATTGACCATAAAGTTTATTCTTTTAAATTGTACAACTTGGTGGTTTTTGTTTGCTGAGTTATCCATTTTTAAATTAGATTATTTGTCTTTTTATTGTTGAATTATAAGAGTTATTTATATATTATTTATATTTTCTTTATACAAGACCCTTATCAGATATTTATAAGTATTTTCTCCCATTCTGTGGATTGTCTTTTCCCTTTCTCAATGGTGTCTTTGAAGCACCAAAGTTTTTCTTTTGATAAAACACCATTTTTTCTTTTGTCAGGTGTGCTTGTGACATTACAACTAAGAAACCATTGCCTAATCCAAGTTATAAATATTTACTCCTCAGTTTTTTCTAAGAATTTTATAGTTTTAGCACTTACATTTAAGTTTTTGATATGTTTTGAATTAATTTCTGTGTAGAAGAGTTTGACTTCATTCCTTTGTACCATTGTCCCAGCGCTATTTGTTAAAGAATATTATTTCTTGCACTGAATTGTCTTGCCACTCTTCTCAAAATAAATTGATCATATATGTAAGAATTTGTTTCTGGGACCCTTAATTCTTAATACATCTTTAATGTCTTTCATATGTCTATCTTTATACCAACACTGTGCTCTCTTGATTACTGAAGCTTTGTAGGAAATTTTGAAACCAAAAGTATGAGTCCTCCAATTTTGTTCTTTTACAGTTTTTTTTGGCTATTCTTGGTCTCTTGCATTTCCATATGAATTTTACAATCACATGTCAATTTCTAGTGGGGTAAAAAAATGCCAGCTTGGATTTTAATAGTCCGGGCTGATAGTGGGGAGAAACAGGGAGCTAGATTCTGATTGTATTTTGAAGATAGAACTAACAGGATTTGCTAACAAACTGGATGTTGCTTCGGAGACAAAAAAAGAGAAAAAAGAACCAAGGGTGATTCCAAGTTTTTTTGGTCTGAACCACCGAAAGACTGGAGTTTCCTTTAATAAAGAATGCTGTTAGACTGGGTACCCATGCTCAGTGGTTAGGGCGCCAGCCACATGCTCTGGGGCTGGTAGGTTTGAAACTGGCCCAGGCCTGCTAAAAAAAAAAAAGCCGGGCATTATAGTGGGCACCTGCAGTCCCTGTTACTAGGGAGGCTGAGGCAAGAGAATTGCTTGAACCCAAGAGTTGGAGGTTGCTGTGAGCTATGACACGACAGTACTCTACTGAGGGTGACAAAGTGAAACTGTCACAATAAAAAAAAAAAAGAATGCTGTTGAAGAAGTTATACATCAATTCGTATAGTATATTTTTTAGGAGGCCTTTTAAAGAAATTTGTTACCAGTCTTAGTATTTGGAAATAGTTAAATTGCTCCCAACAAGTTGCTTTGTTTGTATCTAATGGGAACTACAAGTTATGTGACCAATGGCATTGGCTGCTAGAAAATGAAGTGCCACATTTGTGTCCCTTGGAGCAAAGGCGTAGCTATCTAAAATATGTGTTTTTTGTTGTTGTTGTTGTGTTTTTGTTTTTTTTTTTTTATACAGACATTGTCTCACTTTATCACCCTCAGTAGAGTGCCCTGGCATCACACAGTTCACAGCAACCTCCAACTCCTGGGCTTAGGCAATTCTCTTGCCTCAGCCTCCTGAGTAGCTGGGACTACAGGCGCCTACCACAACACCCACTATTTTTTTGTTGTTGTTGTTGCAGTTTAGCCAGGGCCAGGTTTGAACCCACCACCCTTGGTATATGTGGCCAGCGCTGAGCCACTGAGCCACAGGTACTGACCAATATGTGTGTATTTAAATTGACTTCATTCACATTAGGTCTTGTTTTTTATCTTTTTTCACTCCTAATTTGTTCTCTCATGTGTTATGTGTCTTTATGTACATATAACATGTTATGTTTTTAGAACCTTTTTTAGAATAAGCAGCGTTCGATAAATAAAAATAAATTGTTTGTATTGTATGCCACCAAAAATGAAATGGGGATGGGGATAGTATTAATTTTAAAGCACCAAGTTAAAGTTAAAGTTTAATTTAAATAGTGTCATGTAGACTAATGTTATAACTTGAGCTTTTTCTGAGTGAGGGGGGGCATTGCAGAATTTCAAAGTAAGAGGAGCATGTTCTAACTTACATTTTAGGGAGCATTCTGGCTATTATACGTAATGTTCAAAGGACTTGACAATTATTTCTGCAATTTTAGGTATATTACAGCTAATACCGACACAGAAGAACAGAATTTTCCAACCCCTAAAGCGTTTAACACACATGTAGAAGAACTAAAGTTAGATGCTCTTCTTCAGAAAGTAGATCACTTACGTACAGATGACTCTGGCAAGTTGGAGAGCTTTGAAATACTTTGCGACCACAAAGAAAAGGTAAGAGATAAGTGACAATAACACTTTGTGTTGTTTTGATTTTTGATTTAATCTATCATCCTATTCAATTACGCCATAATAATTATGTCATTCATACAAGCTAAATAATTGATGGCAAATTTTTTTATAAAATGACTAAAATTTTTAGAAGCAAATATGAGAGTTTATTAGACTCAAATACCATAAAAATGGGAACCAGAGCTATAATTATACTGATTTACTTTTGTTTGATTTTTACTAGTTTATATATTCAATCAGTATTTTATAACCAATGAAAGAGTAAGACAGCATGCCAAAGCATGTAATACTATTTCTCTGGGGAAAGGGAAGACTACATCTTAAGTTTCCTGTCTAATTATAATAGCTATCAGTATTTAAAGCTGCTTCTGTCAGGAATTATTTGATCATATTGGGCCTGAATTAGAAAAGCCATCTCTCTCACCACTACTAAAAAAAAAAGTATGCCGTTTTTGAGGATTTCACAACTCTAAACCCATTGAAACATTGTCTAAAACTTATAAAACCTCCAGGATTTACAGTTTAGCTAATTCAGGTAAAAAATGAGACTGCTCTTTTGAGTGTATGCTATTCACTTTACAGATATTATCTAAAATGCTCACTGAACAGTTATACGGCCAGTAGGTAACTAAGAAAGAAAAAGAAGATACCACAGCCCAGGGGAAATGTTTATATTCTGATACCTATCCATTCTCAGTTCTGCATAGGTGACTATGTTTAGACAATATGAATAGGCTTTAAGATCCAAATGTAATACTAACTATATAAAGTCATATTTTGTAGCTATTAGTATTTAGATTTAAAATGTTTCCTACTACTGACAACTAATATGAAGCCAGTAAAGGGACTAATAGGTGCACAAGAGAAAATCCCAATTCAAGTTCGGGAGAGGAGGGAGAGGGAGAAGGGAGAGGGGAGGGAGGAGGGAGGAGGTGCCCACCTAGTGGGCACAATGTATGGGTATACGGCACACCTCTTGGGTGCAGGACACAACTACAGCAGAGACTTTACCTAACAAATGCAAACATGGTAACCTAATTATTTGTATCCTCCTATTAATCTGACAAAAAATAAATAGGTAAAGTGTTTCATATTAAATATGTATACGCATAGATTCAATCATCTATAAATACCAATTTACCGGCCTAAGTTTTTAAAAGTTGCAGTAGAAAATAATTCTAGTCTAGAGACATTATTGAGTTAATCTAATGTGCCGTGTTCTCTTTTCCTTTCAGTTTAGAAATGAAACAGAGTTTATGTGGCGGCTTGCTCGAGGTTATGGAGACATGTATGAGCTATCTACAGATACCCAAGAAAAGAAACATTATGCTAACCTGGGTAACTATTTTGTAAACATTGATGATTCTCACGTGGCAACTGGGATCTAGGATAAACCGCTGGTGAATTTTAATTGATGCAAACTTATCTTAGCTAAACCCAAATGCTTTATGTCTTTTAATATATCCTGATACAATAAAAAAAGAAAAAAAGTCACAATCTCAGAAAAGGAAGGTGTTTTTAAGACTAAAGAATATGTTCTTTAAAAATACTTGAGTATATTAGGATAGGCCCCTCAAAAAACTCGTTTCATTTTTTTAAGTTTATAAAATCATAGAAAGATATTAAGAGGTAGTGTTTGAGAAGCAATAATAGGGAAAGAAAATTATCTTTAGCCCTAGTCTATGATAATTAAAATAACACAGCCAGCTTCCTGCAATGGACAACTCCATGCACCACAAAGGAATAAGCTCTCTGACTTTCATGTTTTTCAAAATGTATCTTGATGAAATCAACAACGTTGAATGGATCGTTGTTAAGTTGAATGACTGATGTGTATATGGTGGGTCATTGTACTGTCACCTATACTTTTTTGTTTATTTTTGAAATTTTTCATAACAACAGTAAAATGGCCAGAATGTCAAAGTGGTGATATTTTTTGTTTTTATATCGCACCTTGTCTCTCCCACTGGATTTCAAAATGCTTTCTTGTAAAAACCCCTGCCGCCTCCCTGAACTGACCTCAAAAACCTTTTACTTCTTTGTTTATTCCAAAGTTTTCTCTTTTCTAGGGTTTGATTCTCTAAGAGAGCATGAGGAAGAAACAGTAAGACAGATCTCATTCCGGTCTAATTCTCTTGTCATTTTTACTTATAAAGAGGAAGCATTACCCACCTCCTTATAATCATAATACCTTCCACTTGGAAATTTCTTTGCCCAGTGAGCTCTGCACTTTAATTTTCTCCTAGTTCTTTACATATTCATCATAGGTTTGTGAGGCAGTTTTTCTGCAGCAATCCAGTTTGCAGACCAAAGTAGAATTCTAGAGAAGAGATATGTTAACTTCAAGGTAAATAAAAATATAAAGAAAGAGAACAAAGGGATATATTTTCAGATCTACTGAGAAAATCAAAGTGTATCTCTCTAAACTGTTCCAACATTCATCGATATTAAACACATTTCTTTTATAAGCCAACCCTGGTAGCAGGTAGGAACAGGATAGCAAAATAGACGTGTTATCAGAATGCTTAATGGCATTGTGGGGGAGGCTGTATTGTTCAAATAATTGTACATATAAAGAAACAAATTGAAATAAGTGATTGTTAAAGAAGAGTGCAGGGTGATGAGAGAGTGTAGGAGGATCTGATGGCGGAGGGTAGAGGTTAAGGAAGGAAAGTCTTTCTTATGTAAGTAACAGTTTCCCATAGGTGAAATGACTTATTTTTAAATGAAATGGGAGTTTAACTGAGTTAATGTATGTGATGGTAAATTGGCAAAGAAAGAAAAGGGTGGAGAAAATGTGAGGACAAGAATGGAACAAAGAATTAAAATAGGATATGTATATCCCCCCAAAAGTGAAAAGTGTGTAGTGCCAAAGAAAAAGGAATAAAGCCTCAGATGTATTCACTGAGATACTGAATAAATTAAGAAGAAGGCCTCTTATTTGTCCATTCAAGAACTATTTATTCAAAATTGCTGTGTCCAGGAACACAGCGGTGGAGGGAGGGCAGGCAGGGTCATCAATAAAATTAGGATGGTGTTACACTAAGGGACTTATTCTGTGGAAAAGATGGATACAGAGACAGCTGTTATAATTCAGTGTATAAGGAGTAAGCACTCCAGAAAGGTAATGACCAAGTACAGGGGAGCTGAGACCAAGGCAAAGATTCAGACTGGCCATTGAAGAATGTTGGAATTCAGCTGAAGAAGGAAGAAGTGGAGAGGTTTTTCCTCCTAATAGTATGTTTGAAATTGTTACACTAAGGAAAGATTTGATCACCGGAGGCAGTAGAATTCTTTCACAGGGCTCAAAGTGAGTGTACCGTAACACGATGACATTTTTTGAAGCACTATGCTTGATCATAACTTATATTCCAAATAAAATATGAATCTCATATGTAAAGGACTATCATTATAATTTTCATAATTGATTGCTATGGATTCCTCAAGAAGATCACATTACAACTCTCTAAGGTAGATATGTTTCCTTTTGGTCTTCAGCTGCGTAAATGAGACTATGAAACCAGTTTGTATTCTACTCAGCTTCCTTTTATATTCCCACAGTGGGAGAATCACCTGTTTTAAGGCCTGAAAGTTTCATTCATTTGACAGTGTAGCTGAAGTGTTGATTTAGTTTGTAATGGTTTTTACATTAAAGGGTATGTTTTTAATCATTCTTTTCAAAATTACTATATTGATTCACATATATTAAATAATATCAGTTATTATTAAAATACTTTGCTTTTTAAATTCTTTCGGAGGTATGTAGCTTTCTTCACAGGATTGCTCCCTTAATGGATAGAGCTACACAGTGTCAACAAATTAACAATCGGGAGAATGATTTTGGAATAAAACACCCTTATTTATAAAGATTATCTCAACTCCTTATTTAGAAAGGCATTTTGGATAGGCAATAATAATAATGAAGCAGGGGGAAAAGAAGGTGGCCCCTTTTGAGAAAGAGTCTCAGAATGCAACTCAGTTTTCTTGCAAATATTTTGTTTTGTTTTTGTTTGGGTTTTTGTTGTTGTTGTTGTTATTTTTTATTTTCATTTATTTTTATTTTATTATTATTATTTTTTTTTTGGCAGTTTTTGGCTGGGGCAGGGTTTGAACCCACCACCTCCAGTATATGGGGCCGGCACCCTACTCCTTTGAGCCACAGGCGCCACCCTTCTTGTTTTTATTTTTTTGAGACAGAGTCTTACTCTGTCACACTGGGTAGAGGGCCACGGTTATCATAACTCATAGCAATCTCAAACTCTTGCACTCCATCTATCTTCTTGCCTCAGCTTCCCAAGCAGCTGGGACTATAGGTTCCACAACACCAGGCTAGTTTTTCTAATTTTAGTAGCAATGGGATCTTGCTCTTGCTCAGGCTGGTCTCAAACTCCTGAGCTCAAGCTATCCACCCTCCTTAGCCTCCTAAAGTGCTAGGATGACAGATGTGAGCCATGGTGCCTGGCTCTTGCAAGCATTTTGATTTCTCAAGCCATTAAACATATTATTATATAGTTACAAATCAAAAGTATAATTATTTAGAAGAATTATTTATGTCACTGAGACTGTTCATTATTGTGAACGAGGAGGCCAGAACTTCTCAGAGAAGCATTCCCTTCTTCCTTTTAGACAGAGTCGCGCACTCTGCTGTGTTCTATTTTTGCCTTGCTTTTATGTTTCGCACGTAGTTTGTCTATATGCATATACCTGAAGCCAACTGCACCGTGAGCCACGGAGGTCAACGACTGTCTTATTTGATGTTTTATTCCCAGATTTTGGCAAAGTGTGGCACTTGGTAGGTGCACAGTAAAATTGTTTGAATGGATTACCAAAGAACAATTTCTATTTTATTTTTAGGTAATGACTAAGTGACTTTTCTTGCCTTTGGTTAAATCAGTTAATCCAGTGGGTGTCAAAATTGAGCACTCATCAGAATCGTTAGAGGCTATTGCAACACAGATTGCTGGGCCCCACCAGCAGAATTTGTGACTGAGAAGGTGGCTGAAAAGTTGCTTTTCTACAAGTTTCCAGGTGGCGCTGTTGTGTCTGATCTTAGGACCATACCTTGGGGACCACCAAGTTAATTCAAGAATTTGCCTCCTACCAAGTCACCTGAAGGTACTAAGTATAAATTCTTTTATCTTTCAGGCAAAACTTTAAGTGAAAGAGCAATTGCTAGAGCACCTCTGAATGGACATTGTCATCTGTGGTAGGTATACGGGATTTAAAGTCTTTCAAATTCTAACACACCTCTTTATTAATTAAAAAGAATTTTTTTAAGTATTATTGACACAAGTATATACAATTGGTAGTGCAGAAACTATCCTTGTTTGTTAACATATTTCACTGAATATTTTACAGTTTTTTGTTTGTTTTGTTTTTGAGACAGAGTCCCACTATGTTACCCTCAGTAGAGTACTGTGGCATCACAGCTCACAGCAACCTCAAACTCTTGGGCTTAAGCGATTCTCTTGCCTCAGCCTCCCAACTAGCTGGCCACGACACCCAGCTGTTTTTTGGTTGTAGGTGTCATTGTTGTTTGGCAGGCCTGGGCTGGATTCGAACCTGCCAGCTCCAGTGTATGTGGCTGGCACCCTAGCCGCCAAACGTTTACAATTTTGTTTTAATAGGGTCTCTCTCTGTTGCCTTGGCTAGATTGCAGTGGCATCATAATAGCTCACTGCAACCTCAACTCCTGGGCTCAAGCAATCTTCCCAAAGTAGCTAGGACTATAGACGCTCTCCATCTTGCATGGCTGATTTTTCATAGTTTTTGTAGAGATAGAGTCTTGCTATGTTGTTCAGGCTGGTCTCAAAATCGTGGCCTCCAAGCTCCTCCCACCTCAGCCCCCCAAAACGCTAAGATTATAGGTATAAGCCACCATGCCCAGATAAAAATTTTATAAATTAATCTTTCAAGTCTTTGAAGATGACAAATTATAACTAAATCCCATTTAATATAACATTTTGTTTGAAAAAAATATTAAAATGATTCCATGTTTCTAAACAAAAAATAGAAAGACTGCTTAAAAGAATAAAAGCATATCAGCCATTTATTATACCTTAATGAGTCATGATATACAAATTCTACAGGTTGGGGAACAACCATTTATAATATATAAAACAAACAAAAGGGACTAAATTAGTTGGATAAATATAAGTAGTTATCCTTGGGCCAAAAAAAAAAAAAACTTAGTCTTAATTAAGTTGTGTTTTGGACCTTTTGTATATTTATATAAATGTTATTTTATAAATTATAAATAAAAACACAAATATATATATTTGTGAATGTATTTTTAAGTAGTATTATTCCTTTTACTTATAAGTGCATTTACATAACATTTTTTTGTTTCCTTGGAGTATTTTTTTCTCTCCAGCATTACAGGTACTTCAGATGTTAGGAAGTAATAAAATATGAGGACCTTCCTTGAGCATAGGTTTCCAGAAATCCACCCTTCTTGGTGTTATTTTATTCCTCATAGAGGTACTCTTAGGCAAAACGTCCCTCAAATTGGCTCCCTTCCCCCAGGTCCACATCAGTCCTGCAGGAAACTCATTTTTGTCCCACCTAGATGTTAAAGCACAAACCATTTTCCTAAAGCACGTGTTTCTTCACTCTGCCATCAGCAGAGGGAGCTCTACTCACAAACTCTCGCTTAAAACTTACCAGGGCAGGAATCAGGTAACATGTCCGTGTCTCCAAACTCCAAGGGACAGGTGCCAAAATATGAAAAGTCTATAAAAGCTGCTCTGGAAGGAGCAGGTGGCATCTTGGTACAGATCTTTAGGATCACTTCCCTAATACCTGATGGTCCTGGCTATTATTGCTTTAGCCAGGTTTACATGATTATCTAATTTACATAATTCTGATACTAATGAATTAACATATGTGTTAAAGGATTTCTGTTCTTCCACTTTTTTTTTGAGACAGAGCCTCAAGCTGTCCCCCTGGGTAGAGTGCTGTGGCATCACAGCTCACAGCATCTTCCAACTCCTGGGCTCAAGCGAGTCTCCTGCCTCTGCCTCCCAAGCGCCCGCCACAATGCCTGGCTATTTTTTGGTTGCAGCCGTCATTG